TCTTAAAAACCCCCCCCCCCCCTTGCTGTCTGATACAGAGGTTTTGGGTTAGTTACCATGTGTTCACATGAGTGATCTTCTTACTTTATCTTTTTCCTAGCGTGAATACACACTTTTGCTCCATGTTGTGGTTCAGTTGTTTTGATAGAATCTTGTACTCAACTGAATGGCCATATAAATCATAGAGCCCTTCAGCAAACATCTGATTAGACCCTACAGTGGGAAAGGGCAAAATACTATGCATGAATTTCTTTACCCATCCCACTTCTCTCAAATTCCATACCAGCCAGAAGTGTAGCTGGCTAGGAAAGAAGAGAAGACAATACAGTACAACTGCCAATATTCCCAGACCAGAGGCACATTCTACATTTATTATAAACTTACGTAAATCTAGAATAATGCCAGAAGTCCATGAACTAGTACACCTGTACATTTGCAGAATTTGGCAGTGTGCATATACTTAAGGGAACAATGGATGGTGAACAGTCTTCCCACACACTAGGGATGTGAATGTTTAACTGGTTAAGTGATAAGCTTTACCCATTAAGGTGAGGCTTACTGGTTAAGGTTAGCTGGGAGGGTTGGAGCAGCTCTCCACCAACCATGGACAGGGGGCTGCTCTAGCCTCATGGGGGGCCTGCCGCAGACAGAGGCTGCCCCAGCCGGGCTGTGGGCCCAAGAACCCCACAGGCAGGGGCTGCAGAGAGTGAGGTGTAGTTTGTTGTGGCATTATCATTGTGCACAATTAGGAAACAAAAGAAAACCGCAATAATAAAAATTGCTTACCTTATCAAAGGCCAGTTAGGGTCTGTCTACACAATTTTTATTTTGGAAGACCGATGCAAATAGCTCTGCACATTTGCATACTTCCTCCGGGGTTTTTCGGTATTTACCCACGTCTACACGTAGCTGAATTTCTAAATATTTCGAAAGACCCCTGTAAACCTCATTGTAGAAGGAATAATGGGTCTTTTGAAATAGGGGTTTATTACAAAAATTCGGCCACATGTAGATGCGGGTAAATACTGGAAGAGCAACTTCCGAAAAATTCCGGAGGAAGTATGCAAATGAGCAGTGCTATTTGCATCCTTCTCCCAAAATAAAAATTGTGTGTAGACATGTCCTTAGAAAATCCAGCTGACCCAATTTACACCTGCACTATCTGGAAAACTGTAGAAACCAGCAAATTTCTGATGCCGGGAAAACAAAACAAAAACAAAAAACAAGAAAAGGAAACTGGCCCTTTAAGTGCCGGGCCTCTCCTCAGAAGAGTGTGCAGCAAGTACGGGGAGGATGGGTGAACGGCAGCAGGAAGCAAGCAGCAAACATCTTGGCAGGCTGATCCCCGGCAGGCCAGCCCCCTCACAACTCTCCCCCACATCTCTGCCTCCTGTCCATCCC